ATCCTCAAGTCTGTCACTAGTGTGCATGATGAAGAGAGTGATGAGAAGAGGGAGTGAGGGTATGGGGGGTGCAGTGGCCTAGAGTTTTGCTGACCAAGAGTTCGGCTCCGGCGAGAAACTACACCACTGTCCCAGCAGCAGAAGCCACACACAGTGGTGGTGTAGTTTCTCGCCGATCTGATCTTTTTTCAACAGAAATGTTTCTCAATTAAGCTATTGTCTCCAAAACAATGCACCTTTCCTCACCTAACAGTTATTTACGGGAAAATGAATTATTATGCACGTTACAGTACAGTACACTAATGCACACGGAAGCTACAGTACAGTATGGTATATGCATCGGAAAGTGTGTTGCTGTATACACCTGCAATTCTGTCAGTCACTTATCCCACTCAAAAGCAGTCTAGCGTTGGGTTTGATCTGTTAAGGCGGGACGATTTGAAGTCACGTAATCTGCTCGCAACGGACTCCGCGGGTGGAGTTCCGTGATTGCTGTTGACTTGATAATGATTGATCATAACTATTGCGAATTTGTGGAAAAGTTGTTTCGAGAAACATTTCTTGAATTACGGACAGATGACCAAAAGCGTATTCTTCTTTCCAGACGTCGTGAAATTGCCGCCCGATTTAGAGTTGACGGTGGAAGTCCATAGCCAGTTTAGACTCAAGTGTGAAAAAAGTGTTTCTCTTCGTGCAGGATGGCGTGTAATGGATCCCCGGACTACCTCCCGAAAGCGTTGGAAAAATGGGTGCGTGGATTTGTGGCGACCTGTCCAGAATGTGCCGTCTTCACGTATTGTCTATTTTCAGATGAAAGAAGCGAAGATATTCGATGGAGAGATATCTCAGCTCTCTGCCAAAGCTGTGTTGAACTTTATCATACGATTTCGGTTAGATTTCGTTGATACCTTCTGTTGAATAAATATAATCAATTTCTATCTCATTTTTCAGGCGAAAGGCGCGTCTCCTTGACCTCAAGCGGAATGCAGATGTGCCGGAGGCCTCTGTTTGGAAAGAAATTGTTCGAGAGCTCAAAGGTGAGTTTCTGTGTGGAAGAAGAGCAATGCCATGATTTCATGAGCCTGATTTTAACTATGTTCTGCAGCTGAGATTTACAAGGATGTCACATTCAACGAAGCAGCTCTGAGTGGTTCCGGTGAAGACGCTTCACAATACATGGCGAAGGTTAAGCTTCTGTTGGCCCTCTACTTTCTAGTGAAGACCGCTCCCCGTGGCGATATCTGCACAACAAGCATCACAGCTTCCTGGACTGGTCCTGTCGCTGTTTCCTTGCAAGACAGTATCCGAACTCTATCGAATGCCCGCTGCCATGGCATCATAAATGACGCATGTTTTCAGCGGGCCATGGAGGCGAAAAGTTTGAGGAGACCCGTTGCTCGCATTAATCCGCAACCACAATCGACCGTGGTAAGTTGGAGAAAAAGAAGCTCAAAATTTCGATTGCGGTGTTCGTTTATTGTGAACAATAGGCAAGCAGTGCACCATATGTTCAACGTCACTCAGTTATTTACTCGACATACTGCTTAAATTGAGATGAAATTTGGAGAACAGCAATAGCATCTACGGTAAATCGATTCAGTTATGCATGAAAAATGATTTCAATGTTCTGTACCATCTACATGAAATAAATAATACAATCACGCGCATGCAAAACGGCAGGAATGTAAAGTATATGTATATCTTTTTTGCTGTTCAGGAGTCCGTGGTTCAAGATGAAGAGTCATTCCTTTAATTTGAAACGCAGTAGAGCAATTTTTTATCAATACAGTACAGTTAGTAAGTAAGCCGATAAGTTAGTTCGAAAAAAAAAAGTATTATTTTTTCATTTTGCACTGTTTGCGTCGTATTTCACGCCATGGATCTTGTGTATTCTATGCTGGAAATTTTTTTAATAAGCGTCTGGTTTTACTTTTTTTTTTTAGAAAAAAACGGCTTGCCAAGAATGTGCGAAACTGCGTGAAGAAATCAGCCGGATATCTGAGGAACTCAAAGTTTCAAAAAATCGTCAAGCTGAGCTCACATCGGATGGTGAAATCCTTCGTCGGAAGATTTTTGAACTTACTTCGAAAGTCTCGTCACTGGAAAATTCTGCCACCCGTTGTCAGTTACTCGAGTCCCAATTGAAATCCCTGGAATTGGAATTCGAGTCTGCGAAGAAAAGCCATGAACTCACCTTGGAGCAAAATCGTCTTCTCTTGACCCAGGTCTCAAGGATTGAGCAGCAGGCATCAGACGCCATGTTTGGACAACAGCTCAGTGCCATCTCAGCTACAGTCGAAGTTGCCAAAGAAACTCAGTCCGCTGTTTTAGTGGAGAAGTTGAACGAGCTGAATAATCAACTCGCTGCTGTCAGGCTAACGAATGAGACTATGCTTAAGAATGAATTGAATAGCATGCATCAAGTCTTGGAAGCTTCGGAGAAGTCCAAGGCAGAATTCCAGAAAGAGAGCATCGCACTTGCTAATGAGCTTGACGAAATGCGGCTGAAGCTGAAGGACAGGTCTGACGAATTATCTCGATTGCATGAAGAGCTTTCTGCTACCCAAAGACAGGCTAAATCGGCGCAGAGTGCATTTGAACTTGCTGAAGAAGAATGCAGTGATATTCGTGAATCGTACGAGAGTAAGCTAGAGGCCCTTCAAAACTCCATGGAGCAAACACTGGGAGAGAAACGCGACGTTGAACTCACATGCATGAATCTAGAAGCGGAGATTGCGGAATTACAAACCCAGTACGCCATTTTATCAGACAGCCAGCAGTCATTGGAAGACAGCATACCCACCCTGCAGAATGCCATTACTGAACTGCGGACAGAATTAGCCGAGAAGAATAAATTGATTGCTGGAAAATTGGCGGAATGTGCTGACCATGCTGCGTTGATGGAAGAGCTCACGCATAAGTGCGAAGCGTCGGAGCAGCAGGTTGCCGAGCTCTTTGGTAACTTGGTGAGTATGTATATTTCTTGTTCGCGATTGAGCTTTTAAACGAGGAAAAATCGGGATACGCGTGTTCCTATTTTATACTGTACTCCGTTAATTTCCCGATTATTATCTTATATCGCTAAATCAGGAAATCTTATCCCCAAACTTGTGCACTTCTATTGCCGTGGCTCGCCTGGAAGGAAAACTTTTCTAGCCCGAAAGATTTTTCGAATATTTTTCATATCCTTTCCAGCTTTATTCTTGACGAAGTTGTCATTATTTTTCAGGCTGTCGTGAATCGAAAAAATGAAGATCTTGCTGAAGAATTGGAGAGAAGTCAGAAAACAGCGCAAGATCTCATGTTGAGCATGGTGGATTTCGAAAATAAATCTGAAGAGTTTGATCTTCTTGGAGTAGAACTGGAGAAGCTTCAGTCGCTGAATCATTCGCTGGCCGAGAAATTGCAGGAAAAGGAGCAACAAAAGACTGCCATTTTAGAAGAACTTGACACTGCTGTGGAAAACGCTTCAGAGAATGAAAGAACTGCGATATTTTTGCGTGCTAAAAACGAAGAACTGGAGGAAGAAGTTGCCAATCTGAAGACAAATCTTGCAGCCCTTGAGGACGGCAATATGTCTTTGACTGAGGCAGTGGTAAGACCTAATCGTGAAATACCTGTTGCAAATACTGTATATTCAAAGTTGTTATTCTTTCTCTTGGAACAGAACCGTCTGCAAAAAAGCCTACAATGTCAGATGAATAATGAAAGCTTGAATGAGGAACTCAAGCAGAAGATTGCAAATTTGGAGAGAGACCTTTCTGCTGCTCAGGATGCTAAGCACATGGAACTTATGATTGTGGTATGTACAAAATGAAACGACTTTGAAATTCTTTTTGATTAATGAATGGCACTTCTCACCTACAGCAAAATTATGCATCGGAAAAACTCGAAGAAATGGTTGGAAATTACGAAGCAAAGCTGAAATCGAAGGATGACGAAATTCGAAAACAACAGGAATTGCTGAATATGCAGGAGCACAGGGTATCCTATTTAAAACTTTGAATCGTGTGATCAGGTCATAATTTGTGCGATTTTACTTCTACCAGATTCAAGAGAGAGAGTCACAACTGCAGATGATGCAGCAAAGCATGAACGAAAGTTTTACAGTAAGCGAACAGCATAATAGGGCTACTGTAGAAGCTCTCAAGTCACAAATACGTGAGCACAACAATGTTTGCCATGAACTGAAGCAAGCCCGAGTTGAATTGGCGTATTTGAGTGAGGAGTTGAGGCGTGAAAGACAGAGGAATGGTTCGCAATTGGTCAGTATTCTAGAAATATGTTTTATTGTGCGTCCCTTGAAATATTCAAGCTTATTTTTTTCAGACTGGATTCAAACGCCAACCGCGACGTTCGAAGTCTTCTACTGACATTACCTTCGACGACTTTGATGGGTCTTTCCAACATGCCACATCACGGGACAGGATAGACGAAATAAAGAGAAGGAATTCAATGTATCCGCAACATCTCAGGTCATGTTATCCATTGGATGAAACTTTGCAGCAAGAGCGTGAAAATTCAATCCGGGTAAACTTCAACTTTGAGGTCATCAGAGCTCAGTGGAAATTTACTGAACGGCGAATTATTCTTTTTTCAGGGTTTCGAAGAGTATAAGTTGCAGAGTTTGACGTCAAGCGCTGTCAGAGGTCCCAGGGAAACATTCGTATCTGTGACGAACACTTCGTTTTTGAAGGATGAGATTAGTATGCATCATGCAGAAAAGGTATGTGGATTCCGATCTTAACAAGGTTCGACGAATTTTTCGATCGATCATTAATTTGCTTGTCATGTTTCGGAAGGGTGTCTCGATGCAGTTTTCTCCGCCGAAGAGGGTCCGCAATCAGAACAAGGGCTCAAACAAGGAGAACATGTGCTGAAGCTTTTTCGGTCTGCATCAGATGGCGAGAATGTGAAGGGGTATCTTGATTTCTTGTACAGCACCGTACTGTATCCTTGGAAATAGTGGCTATATATTGGCCTGCTTTTTTGTGTAAGACTTTGTAAGTTTGTCAGAATAAATACGCAGTTTTTGGCATCACTGTACTGTTTCTGATTTTTGGGTTTTAGGAATTTGGTTACAATACTTCAAAAACTCGGATTATCCTTCTACGCATTTGCCCAAATGTTGAGGCATAAAATATCGATTGTTTGTTTGCTATTATCGATTGACAGATAACCCGAAGTTTTGGTCTCTTCGATCCATATTATGATCGAGTTGTGTTTCAATAACAGTGAATTGAATAATGTCTATGGATTTTTAAAATATTTTATTTGGTCAAAGCTTTATTGTACAGTATTTTGTTCTTCCTCCTTTGCGTTTCAAAAATCAAAAAATTTCATGGTGCATATTTACGAGGCATTCTTCATTGTTCCAGAATCAGGAATCTGTTGAATACCTGTTATTAACTTGGAGATGCATGGTAGAAATCATTTTTTTTTTCTATTTTCTTGCATCCGAAATTATCAAGGGAAATATTGTGATGAAGGAAGGCTCTTTCTGGATGAGTTACTTCCTTTTTTATTTCGAAATATAAAAATGTCATCCTTTGGATAAGAATAGAATGCCTTTTTTAGGTCTCTCTTCTAAACATACAGTATCTCCATTCAAAATCCTGTAGCCATAGTCTCATGCAATGATAGTTTGGAAGAGTTTCAGTGCCTGATGTGCTATAGAAAAAAAATTCGGAGTAGTATGCAAATCTTTTTAATTATTCTAAAAGTCTTTTCTAATGGCATCCTTGTAACATGTTTATGATATCCTTTCTGCTTAGGAACTTCAAAAGTAGGTGGAACTATAAAAATCCCCCGAGATGCAATGATAATCGTATCTTCAAAGATGGAATCCTAAGTGTATAATAAATGCTTCCCACATGGAAATAGATCTGTATCCGGTAGGTGTAACATGAATCAACACCTGGAAAAACTTGTTGGAAAAAGACTTAATGTAAAGTTAACAGTCCTGTAATATGCACAATAATATATTGTACAGTAAGAACTACCCTTGAATGACTTCGCCATGAACAATAACTCACATTCAAGAGGCATATTCAAATCGGACGAGCAAATGCAGTTACATGTACCTGTTAACCTGTATACTTTGCAAAATTCATTTCCGAGCTCTTAATAATTGACCCTTTTACTTCGTGTTATGCTATCACTCTTAACAAGAAAGTATTGTACACACATGTGTAAATATTCTGTTCATATGCCGAGGGTTATTCTCCAGCACCTCAAAACCATCACCACTCCTCATTTTATCCAGTTAGTTATACAGTACTGCACAGGTGTTACGTGTTACGGACTACGATAGGTAATCAGGACTTATTCAAGGTACTAGTGACATCTACACTTAACCACGACGATGTACAGGATGATCAAACTGTGTATCCAGTTAAAGTAGCAGTAATGGACCGTGTCCTCGTTCCATTCGTGACCCAGAGACAGTTCCTGTGTGGAGGATTTCTTGGATAAACATAATTACAGTACTGTACTGTAGTTGTATGCGATTAACGGGTAGAGTCTTTAAAAAACACGTTCAAGGGTGCGATATTGTCGTGTGATACCTCACATTTAAGGCTTGATGAAGCAGGCTGAAATTGCCGCGTTAACTGTCTGGTGAGCAAACTGAACTCGGCGTGTGCGTTGACTGATTAGATTCCCGCCCAAGTTGAGCGGAATTCGTTCTTGAACTTGCCCACCCCTCCGTGAAAACTCGATTTGTTTGTGTCAGTGGATTAGGAGCGTGGTTCTCAGTTTGAAAATATCTGTGTAACAGTCGGACATTCTTCTTAGTAACCAGCAGACGCGTTTTAACATTGTACTCCTTACCGACAGGATCGATTTTGTTTTAGAATGTTTGAGTTACAGCTGTTCTTTCGCGATGACGATGAAAATGGATAGTGACGTTCCGAGTGCAACTGTTCCGGATTTAAATTCGGTTGACATTGAAATTGATCTGAACCCTGCGAAACTCAATATCGATGATCCCATCGTCCTTCTGCGCAAGCATCCTACGAAAGTTGAGAAATTGGAGCTACCAAGCGCTCCAGTCTTCAGGCCACCGGATCCAAAATTCTCTGTGGTAAAAGACTACCACATTCAGGATGCCCCAGATCTTACTACCGAGTACTTGAGGTGAGTTCTTATTTAGAACTTAACTCTTGATACATTTTGATTACAAATTCTCTCGTAGTGCGGACTTGAGTGAAAGCACAGAAATCGGAACTCGAGTAGAGTACGACTTCGACGAAGAAGATGCGGTATGGCTGCGTCTGGTCAATGAACGGCGTCGTGTAGATGGTCTTCATGCTGTGTCGATTGACGACGTGGAGTATCTGATCGACAGACTGGAGAAAGAGTCGTTCATAATCGCATGTCGACAAGCAGCGGATTCCCTGAAGAATGCGGAAAATGACCTTCTTTGTTGTATTTGCAATGATGGGGAATGCCAGACAGGAAACGCGATCTTGTATTGCAAGAAGTGTCAAATATCAGTCCATCAAGGATGCTACGGAGTTCCTTCGATTCCAGAAGGAACATGGCTCTGTCAGCGTTGTGTACAGACTCCACCTGTGACCTCGAGGTAGATTGAATTGTGCTGATCGTATTTTGGCATATTTTGATTGCTCTTTTGATTCTAGGTGTTGTTTATGCCCGAGTTCATCTGGTGCATTCAAGCGTACCTCCGATGACCGATGGGTGCACGTAATATGCGCCCTTTGGGTCCCTGAAGTTTCGTTTGGTAACGCTGTATTTTTGGAGCCAGTTGAAGATATAGAAACTATTCCAGCGTCGCGCTGGACTTTGACGTGCTCCTTGTGTCGGAAGAAAGATGTGGGGGCATGTATACAATGCCAAAATCCTCTGTGTCAATCTGCATTCCATGTTACTTGTGCTCAAAAGGTTTGTTTCATTTTTGAATTTCAAGTTTTGGTGCCAATCATGTTTCACGATTTATGTGCAAAGGATATTTATTTTTACATAATTTTGATTTCTGAAGAAGATTGTAAATTAATATACCGCTGTAACGCCAAAAGGACCCATTCCCATCCGTCAAAAAATGAAGTACATGAGCTAAACATATTCTGAAGAGAAAGCTCAAGTTTCCTTATGATCTTATGGGTGAAGCCAGTTACGGTAATTGGACCTTGTGACGAAGGGTAACAAGAAGTTTTAAGTAAAATGAGGAAGAGGCTCGGTGTATATTTTTGGGTAGACGTGCTTTTCTTAGGTGATCACGAGTGTTTTGGTTAGAGTGCTGGATCAGCATAAGATTCCTTCTTCCCGAGCATATTTTGATGTTTTTCCTGACCGTCTTAGGCGAACTTGCATATGAAAATGGAGACGGTGAAAGAAGCAAGCCCGAGTGGACGGGGCGGTGTCAAGAAAGTTGTGAAGTGTGGTGCTCATGGGCCTCCTGGCCCTCGTCCGCATGCATCTTGGGCCAAGTCGCCGCCGAAATTTAACCCGTCGTTACCAGAAGCTCTGATAGCGGAAATTGCTGCTGGGGTGATAGTGAAACGCAAGAAACCTTTTGTAAAGCAGTTGGTTGCGTACTGGATATTGAAGCGTCAAGAGCGCAACTGGGCTCCTTTGATTGAGAGGCTTCAAACTATTCCTATGGATGTTGTCCTTGCCACGTCGGGGAGGACGAGTGCGTGTTCTTCTGGCATTCGAAGGGAAGTGGATTCTGCTGCAGATTCAATTGATGAATATTCATTCGTCGATGATGTGGTGAGCGTAGTTATAAATTTCTCAAAGAATGAGTCAGCTTGCAACAACCAATTTAATGTGCCGAAAAACATGCACTGAAACGAGCAATTTGCACGATGTGGGTTAAGTCAATTATAAAGGCTCTGTTTTCCATTTGCTTACCTAATGTTTAGTTGATTTTCTGTTGCTTGCTGTTTTACTGCTATCTGTTCGGAATGCCAAAATTTTCGAATGAAAGAAGTGTCAGAATTCTTGATCGAACTACGAGAATGTTCTATAAATTATTTTGCCGGTGTATTATCTATTTTCAGTCGGAATGCTCCAGCCCCACGCCGCTTCGACGCGTGAACACTAATTTGAAGAAAGAAGTGTTGATTCCAAAACAGACGAACGTGTTCATGGATCTCGAGAACAAAGAACATCCTCGGGTTAGTGAAAAAACGGGCTTCCGGTCCAATGAATCTAAATATTTTAGATTCATATAATGAACATGTATAAATTTTTCCTCAAAATTTCTAGTTGAAAATGTTGAACAATTGCGAGTTGTAGAAGAAAAAGTAAAATTGACGTACTGTAATCATCTGATTTAAAAAATCGAATTACAGGTTGGTCCAAAAAAAGTGACCCGATTTCTGACTTGAAATACCTTGGCAAAAAATCGAGCTGTGGCACTGAGGAAAAAAAGCCAAATGAAAGCTTGTTAAATTCCTCTTTGAATGGTATATAGTATTCTGGTCCCAATTGCCACAAGAAACACAGGATATCACCGTAGCCATGAGGCTGGTTCCCAGCTAGCTTGCATCATGACTTGAAAGTGGAGCAACATCCCTCTGCTCAATTTTTATTTTTTGCTCGTCTCACTTCCACCTCCTAAATTTTGGGAATCTCCTACATTCAAATTTCTTGTATAAAACTAGTTTGTAATTACGAAGCAGTGAAACTGATTTTTGAGCTATCCAGTCAAATTAAAGAAATTTGCTTGCAGGGGGTCACAGGAGCCATACGGCTGGCTCCGCAGCAAGCTAGCATCAGGAGTTCGGACTCGGTACTGGGATAACATCCCTTAGCTCAATTTTTATTTATTTATTTTTGCACGTCTTAACCTCCCAAATTTTGGGAATGTGTGCACCCTCTTGAAGGCAGCGAGAAGTTGCTGTTTAAATTATTGGTCCGGCACCCCATTTATCCCTAAAAACAGCTCTGGAAAACAGCCGCTTAGTGGAAGGAGATGTCTGACAATTTTTTTGTGGAAAGTTTTCATTCAAGAGTTTCTTGTGGCACTTGGGGACAATAAAACTATATACAGTACCATTAAACAGGGAATTGAGGAAGCTTTCATCTGGCATTTTTTCATCGCCAAAGCTTGATTTGCTGCTGAGGTATTCAAAGTTAAAATCTGTTCACTTTTGTTTTGGCCCACCCTGTACATTCTCTATCCAATTCAGTGAAGATGAAATTGATCCAATATACTCTTGATGGCAGTTTATAATCCTGAACAAGAGTTTTTGAGGATGTGTCAACAGAGAAGGGTAAAATCTTTTTGCATCAATGCTTTTTTATTTTTATGTTGCTGCAGCTGCTTGGAATCACCAACGGGGATGTTGCGATGAAACCTCACGTGGACCCTAAGAAAAGCCCGATGACATTGCATGAGCACAAAATCGTTTCCGAAGGATTGTTACGCACGGCTCCTGGATTTGAGGATTCCATGAAGAGCCAAACAAACGTGAATGAGCGATCAAAGCGGACGATCAAACCGAAAAAGGTTTGGGAGCCTGATTGTGAAAAGCGTGTCCAACGGACGACCCCGAAGAAACGTAACAGTTCTCAGGGCTTGAATGGTGCTGGCCCTTTGTCAACTTCGAAACCCGCACCCAACAGTCAATTGTTGGAAAAGTGAGTTGAATATTCTTCAGCTTTTCAAACCGCGTGAAAATTCCAGATGTATGTAGGTAACCTGCTCGATAATGCTTGCATTTTGTACGTCTTCACTTGAGAATGTTTCAGCTGAGGTATTTTCCGTGTCTTTGCTTAATTCACGTTTCAGTGTGTCACTGCATTTAAAAATCCCCTGTCCATGAATAGTATACTGTACTTTAATTTGGTTTTGGACTTGTTTTCCGGAACGACAGGCCGGTTTCGTCTCAATTCCCACTACGAAGAATTAACCGAAGTGTACCTTGAGTTGAGCGAACCTTACATTTTGTTGATTTGGGTGGAAGGAATGCATCTGTTTTTAAAATTTTTATGAAGTTCGTTTCAAAGTTTTTTTTTTCTTTTGGTACTTTTATTCGCAGTGTCACACCTCCTGCAAAAAGCTTTTTGCAGTATCGCAACTCCGAGTTTGCCGAAGTGGGATCCGATGACGAGGCCAGTGCAAAAAAGCCTGCGAGTCCCGGTATTTTGTCTGGCGTGGAGTCTTCTTCGACGTCATCTTCCTCATCATCTTCTTCATCGTCACTCTCGTCGGACGAATCTGATGCGGATGTTGCACCGGAAAGTCAACCTCAGCGTCGGAAAAAGGTTTCACCACCGCGAACAGATTCAAGGTTCCAACCCCTGGATCTGGTGTGGGCCAAGTGCCGCGGATACCCGTGGTACCCAGCGCTCGTGATTGATCCTGCTATGCCGAGGAACGGGTTCCAGCAGAATGGGGTCCCCATTCCCGTTCCCCCTGAAGATGTTCTCCTTCTGAAGGTCAGTTTTAATCATTTTTGTTTGTTGGAGAATTTGGATTAATTTTTGGACTGGGATTTCAAATGTTATGAGCCATGCGACTCGAATACTTGATCAGATGTTTTATTCGCAATCCAATTGTTTGGGGAATATGCTGTGTTCCTAGAAAGAGTCGAAACAGGTGGATTGGGTCAAGGAAAGTCTGTTCAAACCTTCGTGCAGTATTTTTATTTTGATCTCGCAGAATTTTTATCGAATTATCTGAGAAGCTTCTTGTGGTAAATTCGGATGTGATTTCAACTGTTGCAAAGATTGCATCGGGCGGCGGCTCATATAGTTTTTTTCTTTGTTTCAGAAACGATTCCCGGATCGTGAATACTTGGTGCTGTTTTTTGACAACCGGCGTAATTGGCAGTGGCTGGCGAAGGACAAACTGGATCCACTTGGAGTGAACTCGGCGTTTGACCAAGCCAAACTGATCGAGTCAAAAAAGCCCACCGATCGGAAAGCGGTGAAGAAGGCGTATGAGCGAGCGGTGGTCCATTACGCCAAAGTGATGTCCGAGAAAGATATCCTAAGTGGCGTTGATCTTGACAGTGTTTGAATGGTTTTTTTTTTTTTTTTTTTTGAGCTGAGCAATTTTTCTGGTCTATCTGATGAGGGTGAATTTGACGTAACATGTTTTTATTGGCTAGTTCGAGCGAACTGCATTCCTGTTTATACTCAAAATACTGTCGACTTGTTCTCAACAACCCTGAATCTTATCGAGGACATTTCTCCGTAATGTTTTCATTGACTGATAACCACAGTCTTGTGTTGACTCGACTGGAATTCTTTTGAAGTTTCAATTGAAAATACACTTAGTTGGAATAAGCTCAAGAATTATTCGAAAAGATCAAGAAATTGTTAACTTCTCAACAATCTTCTTGAAGTGTCTGAAAAGTTACTGTGCAGTGTTGCATTGTAATTTATGAGTCACCCATCTGTTTCTTTTCTGTATTAATTTGTGCATCAGCATTGCTTAAGTGCTGTCAATTTCAATATGATTCTGCATGATTTGCATTTTGAAATTTTAAAAGTTTCCCAGTGCGAAATGACTTTTGGGTACCCTATATGTTCACCAGAGGAAATTTCGATTTCGCAAGCTTTCTGTGTTCCTTGCTTTGATTCTTGAGGAAATTTGGAAAGAATTGGTTGCTAACTGCACTTCAGAAGTTGTAAGTGAGTAACTGTAACTTTCTTGAAAACTTCAGTTTTTTTATGTAATTGGAAGCTGACAAACTTGAAGAGTAATCTTTGACGGTTTTTAAGACTTTTCTCATGAAACGCAATTGTTCGCTATTTGTGCTTCTTCTGTGTTGGCCATTATTGACAAGATCTGAGCTTGAAAATTTTTATTTTTTATACCATTATGAGAAAGTCTTGAAGATGAAAGTGGTTCTGTTTCTTACATGCACTTGGGGTTTGTTGATATTTTTTTAGCTTTAAGGTTGAATGTTGTTTCCCTGCCCTGTTTTTTGTATGGTTTTTTGCGCAAATGCTGACATTCTTGTTTTTTTCAAGCGTGTCTAGTTTGACATCTGATATTTTGACCCAGAAGAATGAAAGTTCAAGTTGAATGTTCACCTGCTTCTCAATTTTCTGATGTCTCGGAAATTTCATGTGTTCATCTTTGATTGTTACCATGTAGTGTGTAGTATATTTTTCTAAAAAGATTGTATTTGTTCAACTTGAGAATTTTGTAGTGTCCGTTTGCACCATGCCGCCGAAGAAAGGTCGTGGTGGAAAAAAACAAGGTGAGACCTTGAACTTGGTCATTTTCCAGGAAAACACGTTTGATTCATCTTGCTCATTTCAGATTTCAGGTCACGTCTGATGCAGCAATATGACTTCAATCCACAGAAACCGATTGCGTTAGTAAAACTGACTTCAATGATTACAAATTGACCCTCACTTAAACGCTTGAAACCACGAACTTATTCTATTTCAGGAAGCCAAGAACCAGTGGAAAAACTGTTGCAAAGGCTGTACAGGAGCAAAAAGATGCCAATCGGCCGAGGTGTTCTTCTGGATCAGATGCATCAAAGAATGAGTGAGCACTTCTCGAAATTTTGAAAAATTCAAAATTTTATTCCTTCAAGTATCTAAGTCAGAAAAATGAAACCTTGTTCAACTTTAATTTCCTTTGTTTCTGCCCAATTTTGTGTCCTAAGTTGTTGGTGAATTTTAATTTATTGAAAGGTTTTTCCTAAAATATTTTTCCCCTTTACAAAAGGCGGGATTGTGAAGTGCAACTTATCTGTATCCGTGAGGTCTTGTGGCGTGCATTGTTCGCTTATCAGCTGACTGATAATCCTCATTGTTGGCTAACAAGTTACTTGTTGTCATTGGTGATGGCTGTGGTTTATTAAAAGCGGTGTTATTGTTATACTGTACTGTATATTTCCTAGTATGCGCGGTTCATCTCTTGGCCATGTCAGATGTGCGGATGCATCTCCACAAGCATCGACTTCTGCGCAACCCGTGCTTGCAATCCCAAACACGGAAATAGAAAGAGTTCATGGAGAACCTAGTGGAAAGGATCGTGTGGAATCTGTGAGCGAAGTTTCGAGAGGTTCCGGAGAACCGTAAGTTTATTTGAATAATGTTTTTACGATTTAAAAGCGAATTTTTATTACTATTGCGGGGTCATGTCAGTCTGTCATTTTAATTCTATTCTTGTCCAGCTTATGTTGTTGAATGTGACAGACATTTTTTCATTTAATTTTTTTCCTAGGGCATGGAAAGCTGCAAAACCGAGTGGAAAAGCAAGTGAGTGAGGAATTTTTATTTTGAGAATTTATGGAATCCCTTTTCAGATAATTTTTCTGCTGTTCTGCCAACGACGGTACAGTATTCGCGAACTCAACTCGGTTTCATTTTATTGTTGGAAAAATTGGCACCTAGAATTCATAATTTTCATGTGGTGTCTAAACCTACCGAAAGTATCACAAGCAGTTGTCCAGTTCTATCAATTTAATTTATGGGTATTTTACTTCGCGCAATTTTCCGCTAGAATAGTCCTCTTGAATTTTTAATTATTGTCCAGATATTCATGTTCTATATGCATAAAGTACAATATTCATTTTTTTTCTGTATCATTTCCAGCTCGGTGCGTCGTTGACCCAAATTTGCCCATAACAGAACTCTTCAGGGCCTTTGTTAGTTCCTACCGTGCCATCTTCATGAATAAGAAGAGGAATAAAGTGGTGGATACGTGTATGTCTGCCGAGGAGCTAGAAATTCTAGAAAACTGGAGGTCTTCCTGCTATGCTCCACAGACAGAGAGAGGGAAGCTGGCGAAGTTGGCGAAAAGTAAAACCAACTTTGAGATGATCAAGTCACTTGTGTCTAATATGGACGCGAGCCTTCCTCACAGGCACCATTCAAAAAGTGATAATGTTCAAGGAACTGGTTAGTACATTGAATAAGCACTGTTATCAAGCTCTCTCCTAATGCAACCCTGCCTACTGTGTCCATGAATTCGCTCGTATTTCAGTAATTGACCAGTTGATTGACTTCAAGTACATGGCGAGCCAGTTTATAGTGCGAATCGAAAATTATCTCGCTGAACAAGAGAAGGAGAAAGTGGCTATTGAAGTTTTGCTGGATGATGACGACTCAGGTGAGGGATCAGCGTGCATTGCATGAAATTTTAGCTTTAAAAATAAATTCATAATTCTAGATGACGAAAGGAAAGATCAAGGGAGTGCATCGACAAGTTTGCAGATTGTTAATGTTGCTTCCATGTCCAAACTTCCTGAGGAATCTGTGGAAGGTGAGTGTAAAAGTTGTCCTTTGCTTTGGCTAAAGGGCAAACAAGATTACAAGAAGCATAGGGATTTTTAATTAAAATTCGATATTTGGTGCCAAATGTTGAAACTTAGTTGCTCTGTACAGTAAATTATGTGCCGTATTAAGTTTATGTACGTTAAATTGGAAATCGCAAGCTCTTCTGAAGAAAGTCCTAATTCAGTCAAACATAACCAATTACCATATTTACTCGAGTACAGCACCCTAGTTTTTCACCCTACAATTTTGATGAAATCCTATCCCTGAGCAAGTGACTGGAAAACTGCTGTTTATCAAAAATAAACTAAGAGGTATTTGACAAAATATTTCATAAAAATATTTTTCATAATTCATATTCAACATGAATTCGATCCGAATTCAATGAATTTTAAATTGTTTTGATTTAAGAAAAGTTTTTGTCAAAGATTTCCTACTTTATTCTAGAAAGACGCACACCTGAACTTCTACTACTGTTCGAAAAATTTCCCCTTTTTTTGAGACCCAAGTTCGAGAAAAAAGGTGCCTGTGGTACTCAAGTAAATACAAAATTACATATTTATTGCTGAAAATTGTAGCCTTCTTATAGGTTTCTTAAGTTAATTGTCTTTGTTGCCGCCTTGTATTATTTTTGTTTCGAGTCATCAGTGGTTGAATCTTCACAAAAAAGTAGATGCTGACTTGAAGAATTTTTCATCTTCATTTACCTACTGTTTTTTAGAGCGAGGCAAGGAGTTGCCAGTTGCTGGAGGAGCTAGCGAAGATGGTCCATTTACTGGAGGAGCTAGCGTAGATGGTCCATTTGGTGGAGGAGCTAGCGAAGATGGGCCAGTTGTCGAAGGAGCTGGCGAACATGGTCCATTTGCTGGAGGAGCTAGCGAAGATGGTCCATTTACTGGGGGAGCTAGCGAAGATAGTCCATTTGCTGGAGGAGTTAGCGAAGGTGGGCCAGTTTTCGGAGGAGCTGGCGAAGATGGTCCATTTGGTGGAGGAGCTAGCGAAGATGGGCCAGTTGGAGGAGGAGCTGGCGAAGATATTCCAGCTGCTGATGATAACGAATATGTTTCTGAGGTTGATGATGCTGACGTCGAAGCATATGTGGCAGATGTTGATGTTAACCTTGANGGAGGAGCTGGCGAAGATGGACCAGTTGGAGGAGGAGCTGGCGAAGATATTCCAGCTGCTGATGATAACGAATATGTTTCTGAGGTTGATGATGCTGACGTCGAAGCATATGTGGCAGATGTTGATGTTAACCTTGATGTGGTTCAAGCTGAAGTTGGTGAGTACAGTACATGTAAAGCGTCATTTGGTTTTGAGAAATAATTTTTTTTATTTCCGCGGCTTCATTTTCTGCGAACAGAATTGTTCGATTAATTTACTGCTTTTACTGTACTCTGTATTGTAAGAAGAGAAGCATAACGTACTTCATGGTCTTTATCAGTTGAAAACGAAACCAGTTCTGAGGCAATGGATGACCAGCATATTGACCCGCCAACTGCAGAAATGGAACCAGATGAATCTCTTTTGGGTGAGTATTTTTAAATTGTAGTCCTGTTTTAGACTGCAATTATGACCACAAAATTTTTATTGGATATTTGCAGAGGAAATTCAGCGGAATGAAGCATGTGTGCACTGTCCGGAATTGATTGAAGAATTCATGATTGAGTACACAAGGATTGGGATGCCTCCATCATTCATGATGACTGTGTACTGGGTCCAAGAATTCTTCTTCAGGAAGTTCGGATTTTTCTTGAGACAGGATTACGCAAATAAATTCAAAGCGAAGGTGAGGAATTGACATGATTTTTTTTTCGGAGGAACTTGATATTTTTATGCATGTACATGTTTTACTTCTATTTTTAGGCCCATGTCCTCTTCAGGGAAAGATGTTATCCGGATTACAAGGGCAAGATCTCTCAAATCTGAAATGTTCAAGTTTTGCTGATGGAACTGTTTTCGATGTGATGCCGAGAAATGAATTTTTTAGTGTTCAAGTTTTGGATATCGTGTTTGAATTGTTTGATTATTGTTTTTTGCTTACGTGTAAACAGTATTCCCGTTTGTTTTCCAGAAAATTGTGAGTGTACATAGCTTACAGATGGTTAGTGGAGGTGCATTCACCTCAGAACAATGAAGATGGGAGATGATTCACCTGTCGTTTCTCTAGTTTTGCCAGTGTTGCTGCGACCCACATTGTCTCAAGTGAGTTTTTCTGTTATTGTGAAATTTCAAAGAATTTTCGGCTCATGATCCTATTTTGAATGTTGCAGTTGGAGAAGACTGACGTCGCTGCTAGCCAGACTCTGAGAGCAGCTCTTACTAAAGTTGAATTGGCTCATCCGGGTTTCACCTATGACTTTGTCATGGGCCTGATCCGCCGGACAGACCTCAGCGTGAATATGAATGAGAGTCTGTTACGGCTTCAGGGACAAGTTTCAGATGTGGATGGTGCGCTTGTCCTGTTTAAATTTCTCTCTTATTCGTTTTTATCCGTTTTTAAAGCGTGGAATGAAACCGCCCCCTGCATTTCAAATTGCTTGGGATGGTTGGAAATGTTTCATCAGTGCCGTGCTGTACGAGCGTTGTCCCAACCTTGGTTATCTCTAGAGTATGTAATACAATTTTAAAAATTATGATGTTACCATTGATGTTGCATGGTTCTGGAATTTTTTCGGATTTTTAAAACTTTTTTATTTCTTGGATAAGTGAAAACTCCAGTTTTGGCCAGAATTCACCACCCATGTCACAGGGTGCTGAAAATTTGGGAGATGGAAATTGAAATTCCTTTGTCATTTTAGCAATTATCTAGAATGCAGAAAATATAAAGTTGTAACAGAAAAATTTCAATACTGGTCCGAACATTTTTTTAGCACTGGGTCATCTTAAACCACCCGTCCATCGAAGAATCCCGTGAGGGAAATACAAAATTATTCGAACTTATAAATCTACCTATTTATGATCACGTAAAGATTTGGGTTTTTATTTGGTTTTTTCTCCGTCCTGTTGCACAGCATTCGATGAAGTGTATGTATAGGTGAACTCTCTCTTGGACGAGACATTGAACGATTGACCTTGAAATTTCACTTCGTGTAGAAGTCTATGCAAACTTTGAAAAGGATTTGCCCTCAGGGATTTTAAAGGTTTTCAGGCGCTCTTCTGATTTCGAGTAACATTTTAAAACTTTCATTTTGTACATTCTTACCAATGTTTTCCGTTGAGATAACGGGTGCTCCAAAAACTTTTTTCATTATACGGTGATTCAATGTTTTTCTATGTTTCTTTCGGTCTTTCTAGCCACAGAACATAGATTGACGAGGACAGAAGACGCGTTTCAGGAGCTTAACAGAAAGTCGGCGGCCCTCAAGAAAATTTTGAGTCGTATCCCGGACGAAATCACTGACAGGAAAGCCTTTTTGGAAACCATCAAGTGAGTTATCCCTACGCAGCCATGTGCAAAAGCGCATACTTTGAATTCCGAAAAGTTAATTTTTCGGTTTTCGTAGATTTTAAGGAAAATTTGTGGTACTGTATTTTAACGTAAATTCTTTTTTTCTTTTCGTGTGTGTAGGGAAATCGCAAGTGCTATCAAGAAGTTACTGGACTGCGTGACACAAGTTGCGGAGTTCATTCCGGGCTCCGCTGGGAAACGGGACCTGGAGCAGTGCAAGAAGCGCTTTGTCAAATATTCCCGCAACTTTTCCAACACTTTGAAGGAGTACTTCAAGGAAGGCCAGTAAGTACTGTATAACTTATCCAGCTTTTCTCCCAAATTTCAGTCTGCGCGGAGTTCGCAGAAATAGAAAGACGCGTACGCTAAAAACGACTGAACCGCTGTATAGTATTTCCTGTTTGAATTACTGTAACTCATTGCAACTCAAAAATAAGGCTGTACGCATTGACACCTCCGACAAAAAATTCTGAGGACGTTAATTTTTTTCTTTCAGCGAGCATAATTTTGCGGATCGAAGTTTGTGAATAGAAAAGCTGTTTAAATGCTTTTATTTTTCTCCCTGTTGCTCTTCCAACAGAAAAAAACCAGTTTTAAACCTATCATCGTTCCATGATGACGTTATAGTAAGCTGTAGTAAAGAAATAAGTTTTCAGATTACCCGGCGCGAGCGACCTCGAGCTGTGTCACTGTGTACGTGAACTTACGATAAGGGAGTTCCGGCGTGTTTGAAAAGCACCCAGTTGTAAGATTACCCAGGGGTAAAGCATCAAACCTTGAGCAACCATGTCTCGTTTTTTTTACCATCTTTTAAAAATAAAAAAACCGAAAAAATTATCAAATGAAAACGAGGCGTAGAAAGACATGCACTTCGCATTGAGTTGACGGTTTTTGCGTGTAGCTTCTCTTCTGCGTAGTTTTTTAATAGGTGGATTTTATTTATTGTATCCTTTTTACTTGACGCAATTCGCTCGTGTAAGAGTGACTTTTTATCTCCGGTAAATCTTCCGATCAGCTCCGAGCAAGTTTTGAAAAACAATCCGGCATCTGCTGTCGAAGCTGGAAATCCTTTGATGAAATGAAAAGCTGCCCTGAGCAAGCTTATTAAAAATGGGCTTTACTGTATTTTGAATGATAGTATCAAAGCCCCGCGGAGAAAAAAAAAGAATAGTTTAATCTGATAAATCTTCTGGAAAATTCTTTTGTGGTAGCCTTTTCGCCCTTGAAGTCACGAGTTTCTTTATTGAATTTATTTTGTTCATGAAGAATTGGAAGCATTTTGAATGAATAGATTTGCAAACCTGTGTATTACATTACAGATTAAAAAGCCATGCAATAGTTCACTGATCGAGGATTATTTTCTCTCACTCTCTTGCTAACGAAATCTCTCGCAATTTTCTTTCAGAGCTTCAGCTGTGTTCGTCAGTGCCATGCACCTCATCCATCAGACCAACATGCTCATCGTGACCGTGAAGGACACGTGCGAGTGAAGAGCCAGTCCTGCATCGAGATTTTCATAATTCCCCCTCGTCCCCCGTCTCAATGCACGTGAACGTTATCCAAGCGACACGACATTGCGATCATCCCTTAAAGAAAAAAGAAGAAAAATCGCGTTCCTTTTGTTCGGACTGAAAGTGTTTCATTCTGACTGTGTGTGAGTTAGTGAAGATGGCGTTGTCGTGTCCGTTGTGCCGGTGTCAGAGGACGTCGTTTTTCTGCACGAGTTGCGTTAGTGGCGGAGACTTCGCCCTGGTCCGCGGCACTGGCGGTGGGCTCCTGGTGCGCTTTGCGGACATGCAGCTCCGCCTTTTGACTCGACAGGCGGAAGCGGATGAGGCGGCGCTGGATTGCGAGCAGCTGCTGAGAGAAGAGGAAACGTTTTCCGGGGCTGCTGCTGTGGAGCAGGCTGTGCTGGACCGCAGGGCGTCTGTCCTGGCGGCGTGTTTCCGTGTGAAGGCCGAAGCCCTGGAGAAGTCGAGAATTGACAAGGAGAAGGTGGGCGCCTTTCTTTTTCTGGACTCGCTGTTATTTCCAAAATACAGTAAATGCATTTACGGTAAAATCTCGTTACAACGAATACTGTTACAACAGATGATCAGATGGAAAAAATGAGCCCAGCAATGCTCATGGTAAAAAGGGTTTGTATGCTTGAGAAATGCCAGTGATGTAATCACGTAAAAATTGTTAGCAATTTTGACACATTCACCCTTACAAATCTTTTCAGAAATTCCTTTAAAAGACTTTGAGTCAAGAAAGTGTGCTAGTATTTACCTGTTATTCAGAGTATCTTCTTTTATTTTAACAATTACAGTTCTTTTTGAAGATCAGAGTTTTTAACCACTGAAAAACATCTGAAAAGGCTACAAAAGGAAGATGTTGAATATATGCAGGTCTAATTTGAAGAAAATCTTCCGATCAGTCAATAATTTTCAAAATCTCATAACAAATTATTTGTTACAACAAACTTTTTCTGAAGTCCCCAGAAGTTTGTTGTAAAGAGATTTTACTGTTGTCAAACCCCGTTGAGACACTGATAAGCCGCCACTCTTAGCAACCGCTATTAAAAAAAATTCCATAATGATAATAGCATTGAAAACCTCTTTAAAACGCCATCCACGAAAATTATTGACGCCTCAAATATGCACCTACTAATTAATTTTGTCTTTGATAGCCTGCCAGCAAGATTCAAGTTTCTGTTACTGGTCTCTGTGGAAATATTTGTAAATTGTTGCAAGAGTCAAAGTTGTAAATAACGCGCGGTTGCGTATGTGATGTAGAGTGTATGAATAAAAATATATTTACATACACGCTATGTAAATAATTTTATGTGAATACAGTAGAAGTATTTTTTAAATTCTGTGTTGGCCGTGGTTAAGAAATTCATCCAGTTCAGGCTTAAGTTGATCCTTCAACTATGGGGATTATGCTGGATTGTTGGGATGCGGAAACTTGGTTATCTATTTTACAACTTTTCAGTGCAGATATGTTTGAAATTCTAAATCTTGAAAATTTCCAGATTGCCAAGGAAATCTGGGGATTGCGTAGTCGGCTGCGAAACGCGGGAGTAGACGAAATCGCGCGGCGGCAGAATCTTCTGCGCATCCGGGATCGCAAAGCCGGAAGCGAGGCGAAGCTCAAGTCTGTCTTGAAACTTTTGTGGGAAGAAAGAGCGAATAAGGTTCGAGCCCTATTGAAGCTCGTTTTCCCCATCACGGAAAAAGTGGAGTCCACGCCCCCGTGCGAATCTGCGGTAAGAATTCACTGTAGTAAAATCTCGTTACAACGAAGTCATTTGGGACGAGGAAAAAGGCGATTGTAACAAACAGTTTGTTGTGCAGTATATTAATTCACATTATATTTTGACTAATGGACGTTGGACCTGAAAAATGAATTAATTGTGTACAACGAATTCTTCGCAACAAAATTCTGCTGTAGTTCTGCAATTAAAAAAAAAGGGGGGGGGGCGTCACCCAAGTCGACGTATCTTGCAGTTTTTCTTTTATGTTTCGATTGTGTAAAAATTCCTTTAAGCTCTGTAACTTGCACTATTCTACTAATGAAACTCTCAGGAATTCGTGAACTTTCGTGTGGGAACGAAACGAATTCATCGTCCTTTAGAAATTTTTTTTTTAATGAAAGCGTTGTCACAAAAAATCAACCTGAAAATCCCGGAAACTATCTAATGTGAGAAGTGTCATTTTATATACCGCAAAAATTGGAACGATTTTGCGTGCGAATATCTGACGCGCTTTCATCGGATTGTATCTTTCAGAATGAGATTATGTTGCGCCACCTCAAGCGTGCCAAATATTTTCAGCGGAAATCAGGATTTGAACTTCAGTGCCCAAGAATGGAAAATGGCACCAAGTGTTCGGTCAATAGATTTCTAATGTATACTGTACAGGTAGTTTTTCAAAATCGCGCTAGTTAGAAGCAACGGTGAACTTTACCTTAAAATCAGAGATCCTACCAAGTGTAAAACATGGAAAATACGCCCAACTTTTCGGAGGCCTTACTTCGAAAGAATGCGTCTTATATTCGAGTAAATATTCCGCGATAATTCCCCATTTGTATTGTGTTGAGGTAGTTTTTTTTTTGTCTAAAAAGTTGCTTTTATTTTTATCAACCTTAGATAGAATCGCAGTTGTTCGAGGCGCTCAACCTGACCTACTACCAAGGAAGCTGGATCGACCTCGGCAGAACTGCGGACGCCCCAGAGATGCAGATTGTCGCACCGTGTCTGCCGGCCAACCTGGACGCCGCCGCATTCCTTGCCCTGCTCTCAGCCGGCGACACCGACAAGTGCACATCTACCAACTGCGGCCTGTCCTTTGCCAACCAAGCTGTCCAAATCCTGGCTCACATGACCGATTCCCACCTGCCCTGCCCTCTGCCACTGAGCGCGTTTCTAAGCGCCAATGAGACCCTGGGTGTCAAGTGCACGGCCCTGGCGAGGCTGAAGCGGAACATAGCCGTGTTGTGTCTGCAACTCGGCGTGCCGGCGAAGCTAATCGGCGTTAATGAGGTCTTGGGTAATGTGCGTCTCCTCGAAGTAGTCATGAATGAGGAAGATGATCCTGCGAGTCGTGAGAAGGTGTTGGAGCGGCTCGCGGATAGACTGGAGATTGCTTCCCCGTCGGAGGATGCGGCAGATGTCATCCTTTTCCGACGACTTGCCGACTGGAGCATGTTGGAGCAAATGAGTGCCTCGACGACGGACAAGCGGCTGTACTAGGAGCCTGACTTTCAGTGCCGCAGACACGTTTTTTTTGATAGAAGATTACGGACTCTGTGCATAGTTGCATTTCGAAGTTTTTGTCGCGTTTACAACTGTAATACGAGGAGTTTCGGGTAAGTCCATGGAGTCATTCACATATTGTCATCGTTGGGAGATGAAACCAGGTGATCCATTTCCAGATAATTTTTTGAAAGCTTTTAAATACGGTAAGGCTTATCTGCTTTAGTACTTAATAGTTGGCTTGGATAAATACAACTTGATAACCCTTATGGCGGGATGAACCGGAACTAAAAAAGGGGAAATTTTAATAACCGTCAAAAAACTTTTCTTGGGAAACCACAATTTCACAGACAACTAATTTTCTCCTGTTGTTCACCATGTACCCATTGGGGAAAACTCGTTGGCAAGGATTTTTACCCAAACATTGTCTAGCACCAGTTTGGCCCTCAGGGAGCTGAGATTTGTCATCCATTCAAGGTTGATATCAGGAGTATACTTGAGTGCTTTGACCCAAGTTAACCAACATAACTGCATGATTGGACTGGAAAAGGTGGACTTTTTTCAGTTTGCTTAGAGGTCAATACTGTATGAGATGCTTTGCCTCCGGACAATTTTTATTTGACCAGTGAAACCTGATGACCCAATACTGCAAAAAATTAACTGACTATTTCACCAATATATTTAGTTTCTCGTGAACTTTCTGCATGGTATGATGTATTAAGATTTGCCAAAAATGACTGGTTATGTTGCCTCCAACATGTTACTGTTAAATCCACACTAAAAGATCTGAAGACTCTTTGAAGAGCTTAGCTTAACTAAAGGCAGTGCTACCCTTCTCTAGTAACAAGCCTGACACACTTATGAAAGCCCAGTAAACTCTCTCTCGGTCGTTGTGTTGAAATCATCTCGGGTGTTGAGAGATTACGATTTTATTTTTGACGTTCCGCAATCGGTATTTTGGGGAGGATGCTTATTTTAGAAAGCGTGATTGGAGTTCATTCATGTGGATCGAAAAATATTCGAAGGAATTAAACTTTTTTTCGTTGCATCTCACGAGAAACAAAATCTTCTTTCTTTTTTATCTTCCACATTCCGTTTCCCAAAAAAAAGCAATTTTCACAAGGTAAAATAGAAAACCAAACGCGCACTCCACGTGTCTTCCACTTACATCATGACTTGACAATCGACGATCTCGCGACTCGGTTACCACTTATGACTTTTTCAATAGTTTTTTATGCTTTGTTTCATCTTTCAGAAACAAAAATCGTACGAAAACATACCAAATATACATACCATATGTCTCAAAAGAAAGAGTATCAAAGAGTCTTCCAGAGTTGCGAGTTTCCTCGGAAGCAAAAAAAAAGTATTTGGAACATGCTTTCATGTTCTTCACAGCTCAGAGATGCCAGAGCACTGCGACATGGGCGAGAACATTTGGCGAGGTGTGGAGAAACCCGACGGAGGGGTTGTCATCACTGAGTGAGCGCATCCGCGGGAAAATCCCCGCTGAGGGGAAGAGTACAGTTGGAATCGCGAGGGGTCATGCGCAACCTGCTGCTGCTGATGCTGTTGTTGTTGTTGATGAGGGTGTTGGTTGTTGCTGCTGAAGAATGGTGGAGGTCCGTGGTGTTACAGAACACGGACTACCGCTGACCAGTCGCACGGCATTGGTGAAAGTGAGGACGTTTCTATTATTAAACAACGATCTCGCTGTAAACAAAAGTACCAACGACCCACCACGATTTAAATCCAATACAATTTTGTCAACTTGCAGATACTGTAGCAAAAAAACTTGTAATTGGAGCGTTGTTGAAACCTTGTCGGCTTCTCTTGTTTAAGTAAATGCATTGAGATTCTTTACCAAGTCTTCGTTTCTTTCATTTGAATTGAATACATTTCCTCGCACAGAATTTTCTGGGGAAGACACCCTCAGAACCCGTGGTTCACACTCACCTCGCAACGTAGAGCTCCTCCCTTTGCACGGTTTGCTGATGATGCTGCTGAATGTGTCGCTGATGTTGATGATGATGCTGCTGCTGCTGTTGTTGTACAACAACAACTCGTCGGGACCGAACGCGGAGAGCGAACCGGCATATTTAGAGCAGAAGGAGGAGTAGTTTCGAACCGAAGCAGCGCTTCCTAAGCAAGCGAGCTAAGACGTGTCTTCGAAGCGACGCAGAAGACACCGAAGACGTCGCTGGTCTCGCTTGCTGCTGAGGAGCACCAGGTGGCGCCGGAGGAGGCGGGGGTGGTGGAGGAGGAGGCGGTGGCGGCGGCAGAGGACCAGTGCGATACGGGATCCGCTGCTCCTTGGACATGAGGTTACTCGTGTCGCCCCCTAGCGGCGAGAGCAGGATTTGAGACTTGGACAGCTGGGACATGAGGGCCTGCTTGGTGCATCCGTTAGGGTTGTCCGGGGATCTCGGCACGTAAATGGATCGAGACCTGTGTAGCAGACATTCAAGGAATTAGACCATGAGGTCAGAAAATACACTTCACACGCAGCAGGGCTTCTTTTTTTCAGCAGGTTTATCTAATGCATGGTACCATAACTTTCAGCACATTTGGTGGTGTGAGTGTCATATCCTCTGGATATTCAAGGGCAACCAATGGTTTCTTTCCACCTCGGATCATTTGAAGGGCGCGAATTAAAAGTACAGTAATTTGATCAGTATTGGCCTCTACTGATATTTTCAGTGCAGTTGGACCCCTCTAAGTTTAACCCACATGGACCAACTAAAAAAATTGGCTTAGGAAGTTTTCAAGTTGGAGAAAATAGCTTATTTTTAGTGGACAAGATATTGGATATTTTATGGGAAGATGGATAGCGACCTTTCAGGCCTGTAACTGTTGAATAAAACTCAAATGTCCTACGACTCAGGTCATTCAGTAAGTGAAGAATAAACTTTTATTAAAAAATTGTAAAAATAACCAGAAGACAAATGAACTGGTGGTCTTATTATCGGATTTCCAGAGTTCTTTAATATTATCTACAGATTAGAGAGGGAATAGTGAGCTTTGATGGATAAGCCTTGTGTCGAAGGAATCCAGAAAGGGACAAAATAAAATTTTGACACAGGGAGGTTCAAGTCATCATTCAATAAGGCCCAACAGTAAAAACACAAAAAACATTTTCCAAGTCTAAATTTAGATGCTTACCTCCCCTATTTACTTACTTACCCTAACTATTTCTGTCTGAAAATTAATTACAATCAGGCATAAAGCAAATGCAAAAATTTACAGATAAGCTTTTAATTTTTACAGAAGTATCAACCACCACAGTTTACAGATGGACACTCTACAATGATTTTGTCTACAGAAATTTTCTTCCTATTAAATTTTTTTGTTTGGTCCCACAGGGTTCTCTAACCATGCTACAGTGATTCTCTACATCCAAATTCTCTTCACAACGAATTTTTTTCTGGTCCCTTGAATTTTGTTGTAGAGAGAGTACACCTGTAAATATTTAAAATCAAAATATGAATGCCTGAACTCCATTTCCTGTCTTTTTAATTTCCCCCTTTTAACTGTAAACTCTTTTAATTTGCCTCTCTTATTCGTATGGATAAATATCCGCCAGCGAAAACCGGCGGTAAGGGAGGCTTCAACCTCCGGTTCAGCTACCGAAGGCCCTCCGCTGTGGTTCGCAACATTCCTCGAACTCCTCCGTCAGCCGCAGGCGTCACTCGAACACCATACAGCGATCGAGTGCCATTGTAAATTTCCTCCGACGGCATCTGTTCATACACATTAAAAAAACCATCCGTTCAACATTCTCCAGACTAAGTAAGGAATAAGCACGTTCTCTCAAATTTTCTGCATGCCAAAAATTGACACACACGCCAAAAATTGAATAAAATAAGGATGTCTCGGGGCCGACCTGTGGGCTGCGCTGGTGGCGTCCCTGCTGGCGTCCGCCCCGGTCATAGGCAGGCGCACTGAAGACGGACTGGGCCCCAAGTCGCATGGACCGCCTTGCTGCCCTGTCGACGGCCTCCACCGTCAGCGTCACGTCCCCGTGGCCGCCACTCGGATGCCCGGCCGTCGTTTTGGACTCCACATCCTCTTCGTCGTCGTCGTCGTCCACGTCTTCGCGGGAATTCACGCTCGACGCTTCTTCAGCTGTGGCGGCGAAAGAAAAAAAACGGATAAAAATATACAAGCTGCACAAATATTTTATTATTTTTTCTGTCTCCAAAATGAAATAATCCGGCGTTTTCAGATTCCATAAAAATTGACCAATTGGGCCGTTGACTAATTTCGTAAGGCGTATGTAACAAGCCGTAGCATCTCGTCAACAACACGACAACGGGATTGGAATCCGAAAAAAAATTTGTTGTAAAATTCGAATCTCTTCACAATTCCGCCATCGAGTTGTTGTGAAAATCTTCGCTATATCATAGACACTTTTAACATCCAAGACTCAAACAACATTCCGGCGATTCTGCAAAGGCCTCAGAAATTTAATACATCACTCAAAAACTCTTTGTACGCTACAGAACGGTACTCGTAACGAAATGCTGCTGCATAAATAATATATATTATTGTTCATACAATTATGTTGAAGATGCGAACATGGAATGTGATCAGCCAATATTCGATAGAAACGCCACTTCAATAATTTTGATCAACATCAGAAACGGCCAGATATGTTTTAGAATCAAACTAGCAAAAAATAACGGACATTCCAATAGCCATGAGTCGTCATTGAATGAGCGAATAATTGGAGGAATTACAGTAAAATAATCAAACAAGCAAAATATAAAAATAAAATCGCGAGTATAAAAGCAGAATTAGCATACATTTGAAATCAACAAACGAGATACTGTATTATAAATTGTACTCGCCATAAAAAAATATGCGGTCATCAGATCAATCAAGGAGAAATTATAATGACTTCGATAAAGAATTGAAAATCGAAAATGCAATTACAATTTCAACGCAGTATTTTTTATTTTATTTTTGTATTGTGTATTCTACGACTGGCAAAAGGTCTCTAGGCAACTCGGTCCAGGGGAAAAACGGTCTAAAGGAAAGCTTGCGTATAGCCGCATTTTAGGGCCGGTTACGAGGCGGCCGGTAGCCTGGGTCGGTTATAATCTGCACGCATAAAAAAAAATTTGTAGAATATAAACATACATATCATTATTTTAAAAAAAATTGTAGAATGTAAATACACATATCATTATATCTC